TTACAGGTGTCCAAATAGAGGTTGCATTTTGTCTTTGGGAAGCTCTGTTTTTTACACCCAACAGCAGACATACACAGATGCATAAGTAGAGTGTAGATTATTATAGAGTGTAAAATGTACATTATTCCTAAAGTTAGAATAAGCTAATTTAGGTAGCTCAACTTAAAAGCTTCTAAAGTCTGTCTTTTAAGAATAGTACCTTTTTAACATTCTCAGTTTCTCTATCTATGGATTGTATCAGAATAATTATTCTTGCACTGTCTACTGATTACACCGTCCAAAAAAACTCCCTTAAAGATAGGGCCGAGCTAATATGGCTTAAAAGACTAATTTCTGATTTTTTCCCCCCTTCCCAAATCCATTTTAATCAATCAGGTTTTTTTACTCACTTGTTTCACACTAAAAATGACTATTGGTTAATTTTATCTTTTAAAACTAGCTTGGCTATCAGTCATCCTGTCTCAGAGAAGACCTTAATTAAAAGAACAGTGAAATTCAAGCTGTGAATCCTGCTTAGAAAGTAATCCTGTTTCACATCAAACAATGAAAATAAAAACACACTAAATGTTTGCAGCTTGTTGTTTTAAACCTTTGACTAATTTATCTGTATTAAGAACAAATGGTGATGAACTGATGTCATCCTGAGCTATAGAAGCCAAAGGAGTGGATTCTCCTTAAATTAAACTCTTGTTTAAAAAAAGTTAGTAGATAAAATTAAGCAATCGCACAACACTACTAATTAAGTGTTCATCATAATTTGATAACGATTCACTATTTGATCTTTGAGTGCCTTTTTGAGCAATTCTTAATGAGAGTTTTTGATGTTGTTTCAAAGGAACCAATGATACCAAAATATTTCAGACTTTTCTCTTGAGTTTACATCTGTTTAAATAGCCCTTCATCTTTGCTGTTGGCTGGTTTTGTAATTTTTTAGATGAAGCTTTTTCAGTGCAAAAAATAGGTGATCAGAATTTCCAACACCCACCTTGATGTGTCATCATTTTTATTATTCACCCCTGCAGCTTATTCCTTTCTCTTCTCCTGTTAGCTGCTGCTTGACATTTTACTTACTGAAAGCCTTTTCTTTAGCTAGCTGTGGCTGAGTGAATTATCTCAAATGGAAAAATGTTTTGAAGATCCAGCAGTAACATAATCCTCTCCACATTAGATGCCTGGCGGCAACAATCACAGAATACAGACCACAAGGTTTGCACAGCTGTTAAGTGTTTTTCCTCTTGTTTTACCCCACAGAGCCCAGCGCTCCTCACCAAGGTGAGTCACTCCACCCGTCAGCTCCTGTTCCTGCGTCACAGTGAGAAAAACAGAAATAAATAGCCTGAGAATCAAAATGACTGACCATTTCAAACCCTGCTTGTATCATCTGAAATGAAGACATCATCAATTGATGGATGAGAAGACATTTTACATGATTCGTTTTTGTTTTTCTACAAGGCAATTGACTTGAAGATCATAATGTAAATGAATCCACCTCTTTGTTTCCAAACAGGTAATTTTAGAATACAAATGACTCCTAAGGAAAACTATTTGTTTTTTTAAATGAACAGCATCAAGTCAAGTTCATGGTGAACATCTGTAAAACAGACAGTTTTGCCAGCATGTCAGCGCAGAGAACAACAAGAGCTTCATGTGTTGGCTTTGTTTTGAACATTGTTGCGTTTATGTTCCTCCAGTAGATTGTGATAGCTGTGTAAGTCTCATAGTTCATCATCTCTACAGTGGCCCAGCCTCCGTGTGATCTAGGTACGTTTTCAAACATACATGTTTGTAAGGAAAAGCACTTTTTTCATTGAAAGTCTTGCTCAAAGACTTAAAAACATCTGTCGTATTGAACTCTAGCACTTATATATATTTTTTTGTTGTTTTTTTAAACTTCTTCAAATCTGCTTGTGTTTATGTTACATGGACAAGTTGCGTCTACAGGGTTGAACCTGAAGGTTACATGACCCATTTCCTGTAATGAAGGAAGACATTTTAAATGCTAAATTAGCTAATCTAAGGTGGCATGCAGTTAAGAACGTACTGTAAACTGGATTTTCTGTTACAAGCTCACCTTTTTGTGTCAAACTATGATGCTGTGGAAACCTAAAGACTGAAGTCCTAAAAAGACTTCCCTTTTTTTTAATCTAATTTTTCCCCTATAATGCCAGCAGCATTTAAAGAAAAAAAACCTCCGTTTGGATGAACTGTAAGCCTCCAGTTCTAAATGTAGTTATGCTCAGAAGAGTCTTTGCTGACAGCAACACCTTACGAAACAGTATTAGATGCTGTTATGTAAACCAGAATGTTTTCTTTTAGTATGATTGCTTGGGAAGCTTTTTTTTGTTTGTTTTTTTTGGCAACTTTTGTTTATTTTTTGTATGTAGAAAATTGGAAGAAACTCCAATTCTGTCAAAAACAAGGGAACACCTTAAAACCCAATCTTTTCATTGTTTTCACTTTATATCCTAACAGTTTTTTTACATGATTTTTTTTTTCATCTTTATCCTTGATATGTCAACATTGTAACTGTATATTATTATCTTTGTAGCCTGTATCTACCCTAGCCATCTATGTGTGCCGTCTGGACTGTTTTTGCCAGATCTGTCTGAGACGTGACTGTGACCATGTGTGCCCCCTGCCATTAAGACTTGTAAACAACATTATCTTTCAGTTTTTTTATTAAGTGCCATCAGTTGTGTGATCACCAAGTCTGGAAAACAAAAGGATTTTGTTACACACACACACACAACGCGTCACTTCAGTGTTATTAAATATTCCAGTCAGATGGTGAAATTTTACAGTTAATGTCCAACTAGCCAGTATTGCAGTCCTCACCTCAGCCGTGAGCATAAATGGACATCTTTTATCTGTGTTATTACATTGTGTGAATTTTGTGATATGAAATAAATGTCTGCTCAGTTTCTGTATGTTTTTTCACTTGGCTCAAGGTAGAAAGTGTGGTATTATACAGTAGACATGATTTTTTTCCCTCTGTAAATCATCACATTAGTGCCGAAAGTTTATTAATAAACATCAGACGCGGTTGAAATATGAAATCTTTGTGGAAAAAATAAAGATGTGAAGAGGAGTTACTTGTTGTGTGTTTTTTTTATTAAAACACTTTAATCACACATTTAAAGACAATGTATGAAACAATTATAGATTCAATTAATTTTATTACTGCCACAGTTCGCAACTAGAAGCACCTAAAGGTACTGTAACTGAAAGACGGGCAGGTCGAATTCATACCCAATTTAAATACTGTAAAGAAAATGGCTAATATTCACACTGAGTATGTAGAGGAACAAATAATTCAGATTACTCTTTAGCTGTTCTGTAAGTTGTTTGGTTAGAAGTAGACTTTAGTGCGGAAGCAAAGTGGAAGCATGCAGATAAACAAAAGTAATAGGTTACTGCAGTAAGGGCATATTAATGACACAAGAAAAAAATGTAATGCAAAACTATTTGTTAAAGATATTTTAATCAAAGGTACAAAAGTGTAACTGAATGTGGTGATTTTAAGATGTTTTTAAATTTATTTGTGGCTATACTAGAAAAAACTGCAATTTATTTACAGAAATAAAAGAAGCTGTTCAAAAATAGAATGATTATAAATCCCATTGAGTCTAATCAAAGCAGTGATGGTTCATTGCTTTAGGTGTTCTTAATTAATAAGGATCTATGATGATGATTCTTTTTACACCTTTAATGCAGCAGTCTATCATAGAGTTGACACTACAGGTTCCTGTAGAATTACCTAATTTATTTGTATTTGCTTATTGATTATATATTTATATTTTACTTTTTTTGTCTAAAGGTTTAAATACATGTTTCTACAACCAATGACAATATATTTGGAAGATTTGTCATTTAAACTGTATAGCTTGGGTCAAATGTTTTGTATATGCTTTAAGGTTCTTAGTCTGAATGGTTTGCTGGAATTGTGGTCCATTTTTCCTGACTTGTCTAGCTGTGTCAAGTCCAAAACAGACTTAACATCCTGAAGAATGTATTCAGAAGCTGTTGTTCCTTTATTCTGTGAAGTACATCGATTCGTCTTGTAGCAAAATATCCTCATATAATCAAATGCTATGTAAACCTTACTACTTTTTCCTCCAGATGTTATGGTGATGAATATGGGCAAACACTACTTTTTTTTAGGCAGACCACATGTCATCTCTCACAGTTAAGATCTATTTTCTAAACAAATTCCCAAATTGTAATCAGGCTTTTTAAAATACATTTGGAGTAATTAATGTTTTAATTGCTGAGTGACCAGTCAACCCATGTTTCACCCTGAATTGTAATTCTCTATCAACTTTATCCAGCCATCTGACAAGCTCTTCCCTTTGCTTGTTTCCCTTTCGGTTGGTACAAATATTTCTCAAAATATTATAATCTTTGAGATGACCAAAGAGTGTTGAGCTTTTGTTGCATGTGGTAATTACACCCAGAAATGGACCAGAGATTTGGAGGCCTTGACTTCTACTTCCAAACTTTAAAAAAAAAAAAAATTACACAATAAATCAGTGTATTTAGTCCCAATTTGCCTCAATTTAGCTAGGTTCCAGTTAAATAAAATATCCAGATTACGGTGAGTTTGCATAGACCACAACCAAATCCAAACTGTAACATATATTAACAAATTAATTGGATCATTTGATGCTAATTGTTAAAAGTCTTGTTAAGTGCAAGTTGTTCAAGTTACAAGAAACAACCTCTCATCCTGAGCAGGTACTAATTTAAACTAGATGCATTTTTGACATCCACTATTAAGTCTTTTACATGTGTATTATCTGACTCTTAATTCATACGGTCCGATTTGTTGGTGTTCCCACAATAGCAACTTTATTTATTCTGTAGACATGTCTGTATGTCGGCCAGGTTATGGCAACCAACAATATACTATGGCTTATATTAGAAGGCAACGGAACTTTCACTACATTTTTTATTTTTACACCTATCCAGGAAAACCCAGAAATTGACCACAGGAACTGTTTTGTGAACCGCTTTATTCAATATTTCGTAATGTAACATTTCACATTATCATATTAATCCAGAAGAAAAGACAGCTAGACGGAGGCCGACTGGGGGAGATGATGAAGGTAACCCTATAAGGGGAGCTCTACCACTGATTGTGCCTGCAAACATCAACGACAGTCAGGGAGATGAGATGAAAAGATGTTTTACATCAGACAGAAAAGGCACGTTAAGAAAAAGTTCCAACAGTGACAAAAAACAACATTGTAGGAGGTAGGATGACATGGATGGAGGGTCATGACAAGACCAACAGTTCAGAAAATATTCAGAGATAAAATAAAGATGGAAGTGTTTGAAGTCTTCAACCGCTCATCACCACCCTCACAAGTTCTACAAAGTGAAAAGATAAAAAAGAAACAACTTATTAGTACAGTTTCTAGGTGTAATTTTGGAGAAAAAAGCTCTTGTTGAAACTCATTATCAAACGATGTGGTTTAGCCATCTTTTTACAAAGGGATACTGAGAGAAACGAGGCATATCCTGAAAACCAATGCTGTGCTTACTCTTTACTGTAATGTTACTGTCTTTTTAGATCATTGTATTGAAGTATAAGGGTAACACTTCCAAAAGGTCTATAAAAAAAAATTTGCACACTGGGAAAAAATACAATTAATATCAATGGCAAATGACGTTTTGTATCATAAATATAGAAATCGTTATCTTTCAAAGGTTCAAATTACACCTCAAAAATGGATTTGGTACCATTTAAAACTACACAGTTGAAACTCTATTTTTCAAAAGGAAGAGAAATGGTTTAATCTGACAGGAAATTGTAATTTAAAGCAACCGCTTGTTTACAATACTTAGAAAAACTGTGCATATCAGTGTGTGGAGGGATTTTGTGGAATGGCTTAGAAATTACACAAAGTAAAAGTATTTCACAATTCAATACAATATAAATAACGTGTATGAATATAAAAGAGATACAATGTCATTAATTCAACAGCTAATTTATGTGAAATAAGCTTTATGTGTGAAAAAGCACATTTGTGTTCTGTAGGTATAATGCAGGTACAATGTTGTTTCTGTGGATATACTTAGATATTCATGCATGTGTGCATACATCAAGATATGCACATTTGAAGTTATGTGTATACTGAGTCATTGTTTAAGTATATACTGTTATTTTTCTTATAGATAAAAATGGAAACCTTAATAAAATTTTTGCTTTAGCAGATGCTAAACAGAAAATGAAGTGTGTGTATTTATGTGACAGATTAGCTTTATGCATTCTCTTCTCCATCTCTTGCTTTTCGGCGTTTTACCTTCATAATTAATGCAGCCATTGGGATCTTCATGCCCTGCTAAAAGTGTCTCCACTTCTTCTTCCGACATTTTTTCACCTGAAACACCAAAACAAAATTGAAATTGAGAGACAAAAAGAAAAAATCATGCGGACCTGGACACAGATATACAAGCTTTAAAAGTAAATATCAAGCCTTAATGGTTGACGCATTACCTAAAGTGGTGAGGACGTGACGCAGCTCTGCCCCCATCACTGTGCCGTTTCCCTCCTTGTCAAAGACACGCAGACCTTCAACGATATCTTCAAAAGAGCCCTGGTCCTTATTCTTGGCGATGGCGTGAAACATTGGCAGGAACTGTTCAAAATCCAGCATCCTGTTGTTCATCTCTTTAGAAGGTAAACAAAAAAACAAAGAAGGGGATTTTTTTTTTTTATGACAGAAACTCCTTTTTTCACACATCATCTGGTAAAATTAAAAACTTCCACAATTCCCCAGAAAAAGTAAACAAGATAGAAAAATGTATCCACATTTACCAACAATCTGAGGGTGTACCAGTCAATAACCACTAACAATCTAAAACGCTGACTCTTTTCTTTGTAAAAGTGGTGACATTAGAAGCTTGCCTTCCATTTTGGGGTTCCCGAGAACTTTCAGGACCTCTGCATTAATTGGGTTCTGTCCCAGGGCTCGCATCACATCTCCGCACTGGCTGTAGGATATTTTCCCTTCCCCCGTCCGGTCAAACAGCAGGAAGGCCTCCTTAAATTCTTAAAAGTGAAAAAGAAGTGTTGTGTGTCCAAGACTGTGCTAAGGTAATGATTACGTTAAAACCATCTAGACAGAATTAGATTAAATCATAACATTCAAATGCATTTCAAAGGCCTTAGCTATACATGGAACAAGCATCTTCTGTTCACAATTTGCCTAAAGTTGTTAGCACATCCAGTTAGTGCATATGCAAGGAAGGAGCAGCACAGACACTGCTTGATAGATAGCTCATATCTATTGCTTCATATCAGGGCTAAAAAGCAAATAAGCTCCACACAACTACACAAAGGATATGTACTTAAAAGAACTAAAGGCAATTTGCAATTTTTATAGAAGGAATTTCTCTTCAATGTTTTTAAAGAACTTAATGAATCCTCTTTGATCTTCAGGGAGATGTACAGGTTTTGTTTAACCAATAATAACCCAACGCATTTACAAAGTATTTTCTCCACTGGTTCAACTCAGAGCAGTTCTACTATAAAAAAAAAAAAGCAGGCCTTTAATGGTGGTTCTGCAAGTTTACATAGCGACAAGCTTCATAAGTTATGTAGCTGCGGAGTCTAGAGCCTGGAAATGTCTATATTTACTAGGCATTCTATCAAATGGCTTGAAAACAAAAATATAAATTCTGTTTTCAACCAATCCTGTAACCATGGAAGATTTTGGGGGATCCAAACTGACACAGTAATGTATACCTCTGTATGTAAATAAGAAGTGCGTGCAGCTTGTTTTCTTTACTGTAACAAACTAGTGACCCGTCCAGGTGCCACGCCCCTTCTCTTAGCCAGAAGAGAAACATTCCTTTCAATGAAAATAAATGCAAAAATGTATGTGTTTTTAAAGTTGGTTGTTCTCAATTTATACTGTAAGTAGTAAAAATAGCATATTATATAGTAATAAATTCCCTTTTGACTATTTCAAGTCAACTAAAGGACAATACTTTTAACAACACATTATATTGAGATTATTTGTTTGATTCCTTTTTTTTTTTGTTGCATTAACCAAATTAACAAAAGAAGAAACTATTATAAGGGCTTGTATAACTTCAGTCCATTATTATTTATCCACCATCAAGTTAATTTTTGAACAAGCAGCTTTAACATGGGTATTAAATGCCTTTCTCTGATTGTGACTTCACCAGTGACGACATGTCTGTTTAAAAACATGATGCAGACACACTGCAACTCTTAAGACAAAAAAATTCGTCCACACCCATGCCAACAAATTAAAATATCTCACACATTTGTTCAGCAAACAGTTAGTATGAGAGTGACAAACCCTAAAACATCTATAGATATATATATATATATATATATAATATATAAATCTATAGGTTGAGGAAAAGACTCCGTTGAACATTTACCTTCAAGGTTCCAGCAGTTTGTAGGGCAACAGTCGAGCTACAGGGTCAAGATTTATAATCCTATTTCAAATCTGCATTGCTACGCTTCATTATACAACTAGTATTTTATATAACCAATAAAAAAAACAAGCTATTTATACACAGGAACTCACCCATGATCTGGTCTTCTGTGAAGTCAGACTGGTTGAGGCCGATTTAAGAGACAAGACAACACAAGATAAATCGTTAAAGGCAGGCTACCATTAGCTAACCTTTACATTACTTCCATATGTTACAACCTTAAACCGCAAATTACCACGATTATACGTTTAACATAGGAGTCTAAAATGGTAACTTTACTCACCATGTCTTATTTTTTGTGTTTATGTGATACTCTGCTAGTCGATAGCGTCAGTCTGCACCGAGATAAACGGACAGCAGCGGCGGCTAGCTAACCAGTTTGGTAGGTACGCCCTTCACGACGTCATAAAGCTTAAACCGAATGAGCCAATCACAACCACGGATTTTAAGTTTTTTTTTTTTAACATGTTTTTTGGGTTTTTACAACAGCTACAATCTATGGCAATGAATACATTTTGAACAGTCACACCCTAAATTTGATGTATTGAACACAAACCATTTTTTTTGTAAGTATTTTGTCAGATAATTCACAGTAGCTCTTAAAAAGAAATAAAGAAATTCAGAACAGTTTTATGTCCATTATTCACAGACTTGAGCCTGTGGGTTTATCTAAAAAAAAAAAAAGAAGAAGAAATTGGCCAAAATATTGTATTTCAGATTTTATTTCAGAAAAGTACATTTAGCAGACAACTGCAACATTTGTTCAAAGTTAACATTAATTTTCATCCCCTCCAAATGTATATTTCTTACACTATTCTGCTATCATTCATGACTCCACTCAGTGGCTCTTTCTCTTCCATTTTTTTGCTGTACATGCACATTCCCACTTTATTCTTCCTGCAGTGTCTCTCCACACTGAAATCGGACAAAGTCCAACACGCGAGCCTGTTGACCCTTGAGGAATTGCGCCACTGTCCTGCTGGGGTCTCCCAGAAACGTCTGAGGCAGGAGGCGGGTCTCAGATTCTCCACAGGGCAGGTCCTCCATGTTGCCCAGGGACAAAGGGGCCTCCCCCACTATGTGCTGTCCAAGTTTGTGACCTAAAATATGTTGTTCTCCATCCTTTCCACCCTGAAATATAACCAGAGCACCATAACGGCCCATCGACACCTCGGTCTTGCCACTGATGTTGCCATGCACATATGAGCCTATGTGCCACTCGGCAGGGACCCCCAGTGTCACTGCCCGCCTCAGAGACATGTTCTCACCAAGGCGACCTAAGAACAACAAAACATATTAGTTTAACTAGTGATAACATTTATGAGAAAAATAAAACAATTTCTATAGAAATATTTTAGCTTTATTAAGTACATATTTTGAAATTTTCTACAAATTCTATTCTATTCTTTGGGAGCAGTAAGTTGCAACATTGGGTAAGTCTCTCAATATACAAGACTGATTAGTCAAGCCTTTGCTGTTCAAACAGTGTACATTCATTAAAAAAAACCAACAACAACAAAACATTAAAGATTTTACTGATTTTTTTTTTTTTTTTTTAAATAAAAAGTCATACTTGAATCTCTTTGATAAAACAATCCAGTTACCAAAGGCTTCATGAAAACATGTGCTATGAGTACGAGTTTTGTCTGCACTTATTGAGCCTGATTAAATTTAGATGTCATAAAACTCTGCCTCTTGAAAAAAAATACTAAAGGTGCTTATTTTATTTTTATGTGAAGAAAGTTGGTGAAAATATGTAAAAGCTTTACAGAACTGCAGTTAACACAAAACAGTAAAGACATTTGATGGAAGTCATGGCTAGGGGTTATGTGCAGTACTTGAGAATAGTCAGTGTTCTGTCTTTAGCAGGCAGCTGAATAATTGGTAATGATTTAAGGTAGATGAGTCAAGCCTTTCACCGTTTAAACCGGTCTATATTTTTCCAGAAAGAAGATACATTTTCATAGCATGTTATTTAGTATATACAAATTTCTATAATTTTACTCCAGATTATATTGGCATCAACATGGGATTTCCCATGCAGCTCCACTTTCTAAACATCAGAATTGCAGTATTACATCATTTTGTGACATTTCATTTTGCAACCTGGACCGTGCCCCACAATCTGGCCTGTCAGGTTGAGGCAGAAACAACTGGAATATGGCCTTTATTGCTAAGGAGGAGCAGATTGGGTCAGCAGGCGTGGTTGAGTAAAAACCCAAGAGAAACTGTTTTGAAACAGAAATCTAAGGATTTCCACAGAGGGTGAATACCTTTAGAGAGTTTGATGGAATAGTCCTTTCACTAAAAACAGCCTGCTGAGTGAACTACATTGGTGAGTTAGTGGCAAACAAATATCTGTAAATTATTCTATTATAAGAAATATTAAAATGTAAGGTTATATCAGAATTATTTTGATTTGAGTAAATTTTAAGGCCTTACAAAGTTTTTTTGTTTTTTTCCTGAGTTTCATTTGATTCATTTCATGGTTATTCCAGAGTATTTTTTGGAATGCAATTTTCTTTAATTTTACATTTATTTAGCTACTTATTTGATTAAATCTGAGGTCATCAACTTTTAGTTTAAAAAAAAAGTATTTCTTCTTTTGCTCCTACTAAGCAACATAGTAGGATCAAAAGAAAGCTTTTTTCCCCCCCCAAGCTTTGTTACATTTGGGGTGAAAAAAGGTCAGTTTTTTGTCTAGGCAAGAAAAACGTCTCCAGTCTAAAACTGATCTGACCAATTACATCATGGGAGGCAGGAGTTCACTTATAATGCCTGAATTACCCATATTGGAGGAGCAGTTCTTAATAACCATAACAGTCGAGATTGCAGCTACAACCAAGGAAAATTTTATTGATGCTCTTTATAACGTAAGTAAGAGCAGGACATATTCTTTAAACTTCAGCAGCTGGAAGAGTTTTTCGTCTTAAACAAGCAGTTCTCTAACTGAATTCCACCCGTTTCTGCTGTCTCCGTTGGTCCTGCCTTTAAAATCGGACTCTACTCTCTTCTCTTTAGACATATGCACCATGTACATGGTGTAAGACAGTCTGACTAGCCAGGCTACTGGCAACACAGGCTGTGGCCACCTGCGCTAAAATATGTTGATTTTGGGAGGATTCAAAAGGGTAAATTCTACATGGACCCGATTATAAACCTGATTGCATTTGTTGTTCAAGAGAAATGTATTACATGGAAAAAGGTATTAATTGTTTTATACCTCAAGCTGTCTAAAATATATATTTTTCAACAGACTCCAAATACATTGAATTTGAAGACATTTCTAAAAAGGTAAATCAGTGCTTTTTGTTTTACCCAGTTTTTGTCATAACAGCAAACTGTTTATTAAAAATGAAAATTTTTCAAACCATATTATCACTAACAGCAAAGGCATGGAACAGCCTGAAACAGCTCATTAATGTCCAGATGTCAACATCCTGAATACTAACTTGTAAAATACTGCATAATAAATATATTTTTAAAATGTGGTATAGTCTTCATGTGTGAAACATGTTTTTAAAGTTTCAGGTAGATTTAAAAAATATTAATAGGCCACATTCATACAGCATTCTGAAGTGCCCCAAAACCGATTTCTTTGCCCATATGCAACCTGTATCTGATCTTTTCATGGCAGTCTGAACAACACAGATCTGTTTTTTCTCCAGTGTGACCCAGGCCACTTGGCTATGTGGTCCTGAATCTGCTATGAATCTGATCTTTTCAAGTGAGACCTGTGTTGTGAGTTTTAATGGCGTTCAGGTCAACTTGTTGTTTTCCTCCCGCTTCTGCATAGAAAGGCACAGAATAGTGACCTTTGTTGAGTTTTAATGGCGTACAGGTCAACTTCATCTGACCTGAGCGCCATTAAAAAACAAAGGTCACTATTCTGTGCCTTGCTATGCAGAAGCGGGAGGAAAACAACAACCCTGGCTGACGATAATGCGGAGAGCAGGTTTTCTTCTTTTTTTTAGAACCATCTTGAAAAGATAGAGTTTTTAAGGTTACTTCCGTAAACACAGAGCACATTTGCTTCCGACATCGCATCCTCTATTGCACATATGGGACACTTAAGCTCTATGAATGAAGTTCACATAGGAGATCACATACAATATATTTGGAAATGTGAACAGCAACACAAAAAAAATTTAATTTCACAAAAAAAATTGGAGTTGAGCATTAAGGCCTGAGGTGTGAACGTAGCCTTTGATATTTAACTTTCAAAGATGAATAAGGAAAAGAATCTGGAAGCACCAAGTGAAAAAGTGCCTGGAAATGAATATAGAAGCACTTTGTTTACTGACCAATCGTGAGAGCCACATGGTCAGCTAATGAAGGTCCTTCTCCCACACTGAGTTTATTCAACTCCTCACCCGACAGAACACTCTGAAAATAAATGTTATATATTAGAAGAGAAACTAATACAAAAAAATACAAAAAAAACAGGGAGTGCTAAACAGATTTTATTTTTTTGATAGAATGTTATGACTGGAACTTTATGTCTCCGCATGTCACATCATCAATCTGATCCAGTTTATCAGGGTTTATGTGAGAAACAACACAAAGCAGCACAAAATGCTGAAGTTGAGAGAAATATTCAGTGTTTTTCCAGAATTGTAATTACAAGAATGTTAAAACCATACATGAATTTTACTTTACAACTATGCATTACTTTGCAGTGGTATATTAAATAAAACCCCCAAAAACTTCTTTGGTGGTTCTATGTTTTATTACAAAATGGAAGAAAGTAATGTTTATATAGGCTTGGCAGCTTTGTATTAAAACTGATCATACAAGTCTTAACCTCTTAAAACTCACCGTCTCCGGCGACCCGGTGCACCTTAAGTTTGGGTAATAACTCAGACTGCATAAAATTCCATCGGTAAAATCTTTACCAGCAGGGGAAGCCATTGCGCGCAGCTCCAAGCTGACACCAAAAGTTCAAAGCCCTACAGCTCTAGCACTGTTATAGCTAGAGGTCTGAAATCTTCTGCATTTGTGGTTGACATGATGCAGAACAAATATATAACAACAAACCTGCTTTTTCTTAAGAATGTTTTTATTACCGCTTTTCCAAAAAGACCTATCATTTCCAAGAAAAAAAGCAACTTTGAGTCATGTTTGAACTGATGCAGGTTGGTCTGTCTTCTAGTCACCCAAATTTATTTTATATATTAGGAAACTAGAGGGTGTTAGCTTTCAAATAATGTATTGCACATGTAATTTGTGCTAACAGTTCCTAAGTTATTTGCTTTTTCATTTGGGTATGCAAAATAAGTGAGGATTAGCCAAAATGAGGTGGATGTTAAGAGGTTAAAAATCAAACTTTTCATCTACTCCCTCAGGTGCTGTCTTGTTTCTTTTTTTGTATTGTTTAGTTTTTATAGTTTATTCTAAGTGCATTTTAGCTGGAATCATTATTATATTTGGCATGGGGTATTAATTACCATACATTTTTTTAATTGCAAAAAAGAACATACAAGAACAATATAGAATATTAATAATTACAAACATATACAACAACAAAGGGCTCTACAGAAAAGCACTATTATTTTAAAATGTCGAAATCTAATCTATGCTCGAGGGTTATAATTCTTTACCGGCAGTTATAATTTGCACGGCTTTAACATTTGAACTAAATTTTAAGGATTCTATATAGATATTATTAGAAGATAATAGAATCTGGAAATTAGGTTTATGTTGTATATATTTTCAGGTGTGAATATGTTATTTAACATTTAATGACCATAAGTTGATTCAGATGCTGTTAGGTGGTTGTCACAACAAAGGGGGATAAACAGCTTCAAAAATGGCCATTAAATAATAAATACTTAAGAGAGAACACAAATTTCTCTTCTCTGCAGAATGAGACAACAAATGTTTAGGTCTGCAGGATAGAGCACACAAAGGATACATTATTTAATGTTTAATTGCCCTATCCTTACCTTTACATATCCTGTCTGGCTTTGACTTTTATTCTGATGATGAGCCAATGTGGCTAAAGTCACATCCTTTACCAGCTGCTGGAACTTCTCATTACGGGCAACAAAGTCTGTCTCACAATTCACCTGCAAGAAAAAAAAAAAAAACTATTAATACCAGCTAACAGTGAATTAACCTGCCGATAGATCCCTTCAGTCCTCACCTCCACCATTGCTGCAGTTTGATTCTCCACAAACAGGCCAATCAGGCCCTCTTTAGCCTTTCGACCCACCAGCTTGCTGGCTTTGGTCCAGCCCTCTTTCTGGGCCTGTTCATGCAGCCAGCTTTCAGCCTGAAAGTTCACCATCAGTCAGAGTGGGGAAACCAACAGCTCAATACTAATACAGACAATCATACCTGCGTTATGTCATTCTCAAACTTCTCTAGGGCTTTCTTGCAGTTGATAAAGGTGTAGCCGGTGTTTTTCCTCAGTTTCATGAGCAAGGCTTTATCTGCAGCCAGTAACTGATATCCTGAATGCAAACACCGCACCGTGTGGCTGGCCTGGACCGCACAGAGGATAAACACTCACATATTAATGTCCCGTTTTCTGTATTCTAAATAATTATACGAACATATGAAAAGATAGACTATGGCCAAACTACCGCTACAACCGCTTTTAAAACACAACTCAAGTGAAAATAAAAGGTTTGATATGCTTACCCCAACTGCTTCTCTTAAAACAGTTCTGAATAAATAAACTAAAGACATGATTAAAGCGGAATAAAGGAGCTGTCTTATGAAAGCTCAAAATGTCATTGAAATCCACGCTGTGGAAGTAAAGAAGGAAGCCTAACAAGGACAAAAAGCTTCCGTTAAAAGAAAACGTTATTTTATTCTACGCCATCTACAGGCCTGGAGGAGAACTTCTTCTTCTTCTTTTCTATCATGGCGGATCGCAAGCAACTTTAAGGTGTATACCGCCACCTACTGTTCATGACTATGTAGCAACACTGTTTTTAATCTATTAAATTCTATTTTTTTATTTTGTATTCTGAAGATAAATAAATAATGCTTTCCTTAATCTATAAATATTCTTTATATGTCCTTTATTTCCCAATAATCCTTTAAGACTCCATTCTTGGCCTGTCCTTTCAACTACTCTTCTCAATTTCTCCCTTTCAGGTACATATGTTTTACAGTTCATCAATACGTGTTCTGGAGGAGAACTTCTTCTTATTGTGTTTTATTGGCGGTTGTCAAAAAACGTTAGGTGAACATTACCGCCACCAACTGGTATGGAGTGTAGACCACATGAAAAAAAAAAAAAAAAAAAAAAAAACTATATCCTATTATACAACCTAATCTTTTTCAAAAATTCAAATATAACCCAATATCCTCTGCTTCCTGATTCCTTCTGCAATAAATCGACAATGTCAAGTTTCATTTTCATGTTACTAAGTTTCCTTATTAACCTGTTTCTCTGTATCCAATATTTACTACAATTCAAAATGACGTTCCACAGTCTCATCTTCCCCACAGTCACATTTCCCTGTCTGATGTTTCCCTATCAAAAATAACGATCTATTCAATCCAGTGTGTCCTATTCTAAGTCGAGAAACAATCATCTCTCCTCTCATGTTCATTTCTGATCTTCTCATTGGTCCAATTCTCTTTTGTGTTTTATAAAGCCACCTTCCTTTCTTTTCTTTGTTCCATAACTTTTGCAACCTCTCTCCTGGAGGAGAACTGAGTCAGACAGCCGCCTTTAAACTGTTGAAGAAATAAATGGATTCAACAAGTTCACTCTGTGTATTATGATTATTTAACAAAAAAAATGGGAAGCTCCCAAAATAGTAAAGAAAGAGGGAAAGAGAGAAAGAATTTATTTTAAACATCAATCGTTTATTAATCTAATAGTGAGCTAAATTCTATTATCTCTAATGAATTCTATTATCTCTAATGAATACATTAAGTAAATAGAATACTTATATGACTATGATGTTTGGAGAAGGATCCAATCAAATATATATATGATCTGTATGATACGAAATCTGTGAAAACTGTACACTATATATATATATATATATATATATATATATATATATATATATATATATAAATTTTTTTTTCTTTTTATTCAACAGTACTACTTGCCAACTTTGCTTAACCAAAGAAAATCCCCTTTAATCACAATTTCTTTCTTTTTTTTTTTGTTTTTTTTTACCATATCAAAAAAAGCTAAAAAATAAAGGGCTATTCCAAATGTCACTAAGCACTGGTAATAAATCCATTATTTTAACACATTGTACAAAACGGTGAAAAACTGCTTCTCTTAAAGAACAAAGGAAATGTATGTGTAATCACAGTATTGAGAATAAAGATAAAAATGGTAATAGTAACAAAAAAACAAAAACAAAAAAAAAACATGTGAAATTTGCATTTTTAAATGGCCAGTGTGTTTATTTTGGGTGGTTTAAAAGGCGTTCCCGATTCAGGTTTTACATCAAAATTTTTTTTTATTTTAAATCTCTCCAAGAATAAAGTAAAAACATAAAAAGAAGTAGAAGCTTTGATATGAACTCACCTCAATTACTCAAAATTTGATCAAAATTAGCAATATCAACATAATACCTTTAAAGAGCAAACCTTCAAAAAATATTTGATTACCAAGGCCAAAAAGTTGACATATCGGTTTCCAGTACGTGGCGAGAGCTTTCCTTTTTAACACTATCTTGATACAGTTGCACCTGTTGTGTCAATTTGTAAAATGTCTTATAAAAAATAAACCAGCAGCTTTACACATAATTTTCTAAGTCAAGGAGTTATGTTTAGATCAATTTAATTCTGTCATATAAAACTCTTAATTGGAAGCATTTAATCATGCAGGGTTACTATTGTACCACATTTTAGTAAAAATGGGACTTTAAAGTTTAAATTTTTAAACAACATGACCTCTTTGAAATCATACTTTTGCCTCATATTACATTCTGCATTTATAACACCAAAAAGCAGAAGTAAGGTGAATAAAATAGATTATGTTGTTTTTACTTTAATTGTTATGGTAATTATTATTTTTCAGTTTAATGAATAAACCCATAATGATAACTGTAATGCATTAAAGATGCTATATAGAATGAATGAGGAATGAATTTCAAGACAAATTCAATGCTGTCTGTCCATACTAAATGGAAAATTTTACTGGTAAACATTTGTGCAAATATTTCATTATGTCAACATCACCAAATTTTCCATTGATCTGAAACCTTGTGGGATCAATGTGTTTGCTTCATGATGTTTACACATTCTAAGAAGCAGGTAGCGTCAGCGTGATCAGGGACACCACACTAATAACTCCATGTTGCTCATGTTTGATGGAGCCTGAGAAGTAGAACATCTGATCAAATTGATTTGATGAAAATAGAAAGTGGCTCATGATAGACATTGATTACATTCCTTTTTTTTACTGAATAAACTGCAGCTAGATGTTTTAATAAAGTAATTAACTTTATTAAAAAAGCTGTTTCTGAAATGCAACCCCTATTAGTCATTATAGTTAACAACTTCAACTGATTGGATACTGCTGCATCATAGACAGGTGTGCACTTTCACACCGAAGTGTAATATGGGATTTTTCATATTTTCTACTATATTAACATATTCAAAATTTTACCAGTTTTGTCTAAAACTATTTATTATTTTATGACACATAACAACAATCCACGCAATCTAAACAATGACATGCATGCAAAGTATGACTTAAAAAGTTTTATCAGAGAAAAAAGAAGTTCAGTTATCACAATCCTATTTGACTATTTTGATATGATGGTGATTGTGTTGTGTTCATGTGACTCCCACTGGATTGGCCGAGAAAAAGCAGGTATAAAAAGATGGGCATGGTAATAGCTGTGTCACCACACCTTTCAGGTTGCTGTATATCCAAGATGAAGGTCGCAGCCATCCTTCTCCTTTGCACGACCCTGTTCTACCAGGGTTACAGCAGTAAGACGTGTTTATTTTTTTCAATCATCATAGTATAACTGATTTACTGTCATGATTAAAATGTATCCCGTGTGTCTGCAGACACCCTGGACTCATGTCAGGGGCGATGTGGGTATGGAACAGACAGCGGTTACTCCTGTCAGTGCAACCCAGCTTGTGAGAAGTACAATGACTGCTGTTCTGACTTTTGGACGCTATGCAAAGGTGAGTAATAGGTAAAATCTTCTGAATTATATCTATATTTCTCTTTTGATAAAAATGTAAACACCTATGCAAACCTTTCCTCTAATTCTCAGACGCAGGCACGTCCTGTAAAGGCAGATGTGATGAAAACTACAACTCTCAGAACCCATGCCACTGCAACTCCAAGTGCCCCCAGTACAACAACTGCTGCAGCGACTATGCAGAACTTTGCAATGGTAAAACCAAAAACATTGCACCTGCTCTTAAAAACTTTCCACTTCACATAATCTCTTCGGCTGTTAGTCATTCTTGTCAGTTTATGTACTTTCAAGAGCTATTTTTTGACACCTGCAAAGTTTCACATGGGAGAAGTTCAGTTTATCCCTTTGCCTTTAAACACAGTATTGCATCTTAACTTAAATATATAAAAAAACAATAGTTTTCAAGCCTGCCACCAAATGAAGTGTGGTGGTTCATGTGCAGTTAAATGCCTTAAAAATAATTCGGTTAAAGCCACTGAAGCGATAAATAAATATTGCATCTCATCTTAATCTTTCTAAAATTAATATTTATACATATAGTGTCTGGCCAGGCGATGGGCTGGTACATTTATAGGTCCTCCTTTAATGGTACCATTCTACAAACTTTGTAATTAATCGGTCACCCGTTTGGTGTGGTTAACCCATTTTTTCAATTTTTTACTTTGAAATACTTAAAATATTTTAGGTACTTTTCTATTAAAGTTTGTTCCACCTCTATTGAAGAATGTTTTATTTAACAAAAATAATAGACTTATTTAAAAGGTTTTAGTCCTGTAAAAAAAAAAAAAAAAAAGGAAGTTTATAGGTTTTCAACATTTCCATCTCACTTTCACCCATAGTAGCAAAGTTGCCATTTCAAAGAAAGCAAAATCTTTTTTGTTTTTGTATTTTGGGTTCAACATACTGCAAATTCACTGCAACTAATGAACGAATCAGAGATTTTCTTTATGCTATCTGTTAAGTATGCCTGATGACTCTGTCTGAACTGTATACATTTCTGGGATAATTCTCTGGCTGAGTAAAAAGCGTTTTATGGTAGCATAGGTCACTTTTGCTCTTTTTCTACTTTTTATAGATGATAAATATTCCGTAAACATACTGGATCTTATATTCACTGTTAAAGATAGAAATAAATGCGTAAATGACCAAATTCCATGTGTTGAAGCAAGCATTAACACTAGGACATTTATGGCTGAAAAGGACCTACTGTAAAATCATTCATGACACTCACTTTACAGCTGGAAAGCATAATGGTGTGCTGAAAAGTGTCTGGAATGGATGTAAACTGTGGGATCTACTTTTTCTGCATTACTCAAACAAATATAAAATATCCAACTCTCCTTTAGCTGTGAGCGGAGACACATCTTGCCAAGGCAGGTGCAATGAAAACTACAACTCTCAGAACCCGTGCCACTGCAACTCCAAGTGCTCCCAGTACAACAATTGCTGCAGTGACTATGCAAACTTCTGTTCAGGTCAGACAAATGGTGTTTTATTTTGCTGTTAAAAGCCCTTTACTGCACTACAGTATCAGTATTGCTGTACCTCATTCCCTCTTTAACACCTGGACATTTTCACATGAGTTGCGATAAACCTGTTCCTCAACAGTTGATGCCTGCATTTATGATTTTCCATTTGGACTCTCGGAGCCGCAGATTATTTTTGTTTCATGTGGCAACTTCAATAGGTTTTTTTTTTTTAGCGACTGATTTAGACTCAGGATCTGCTAAGACAAAACTGCAGGACGGAAGGTGTTTTTAGTTAGAGAGAATGGTGGATTGGAAATATATACTTGTTGCAAGTTACACCAGAGCTTAGGGCATAAAGAAAGAGCTTTCAGTTCCTGCAGAAATAAAGCCAAATACAGCACAACAGGAAAGAATCTGCATCCTTGCAGATTTTTTTCTGTTGTGGCATTTTTAAATTCCACATCAAATTATATTTCAGTATTGCAGATAAAAAAAATTTCAATATCAAACAAATATAGCTTCAGTTGAAATATATTATATTTGAAATGATTATTTTGTTTATCATAAAAAAAAAAAAAACACAAAACGTTATCCTTACTAAATTGACCCCTCATTAAAAATGTGACCACTCTCACCCCATTTCCTTACTGACTTTCCTGCTGTAGGAATCATCTGAGCAATGCAGATGTGGATATGCTATTGTGAATTGAACATTTGTTTATTGAATTACTACATAACCCGGAGAGACTCACAGAGAGACAAGAACACAATTTATTGACATACATTGGTCTAAATGTTTTTAGAGAACATAGAACTGAGCATTTCTGATGATAGATAGGCAGCTTATAGAGAGGTCCTCCCTCAGGAGCCTGGTAGAGAACTGGAAGATGAAGGAAGGAAAGCAACAGGTTGGACACATTGACTTGAACATGATGAAGCAGCTTATTAAGGATAGACTTGAATGCTATTGGCTGTGAAGGAGGCTTGGCGAGCAGGAGCATGTTGGCAGAGGTAGATCCAGTTGATGTGGCAGTCTGGATGAGCAGGGGAGACTTGGCAGAGTCTTCCAGACTGAAAATACAGCAAGGCTTGATTTGTTTTACACCAAAATTAGGACTTTCCAAAACATCCCATTTTGCCGTGTCAGTCCACAGAATAGTTCCCTTCAAAATAAGAAGTAAATACTTTTGGCACAGTAGGAGTTTCGCCCTTGTAACTCTGCCATAAAAACCATTTCTTTCTGTCTTGTATTGGTATTTAGTCATGAACACTAACTAAACCAGGTGTGGTTTTCCATCTTATAGATAGTTTGGGTTCTTTTGTGACCTTGAGGGAAAACCTTGCACATGCCCTTCAAATAATTTTTACCTCTACTGGGAAGGTTCACCACTCTACAATGTTTTAACGGTATATTGGCGTCTCAGTGTTTGTTTGAACAGATTCAAATGCAATACTTTTTATTTATCAATAAAAAGTCATGGTTGAGTGAATGTTTCTCTTTTAGGCTCATCTTACATCCCAATAATTCATATTTAAATCAAACTATGCAAAAATTAGATAGATTATCTTAAAGGGAACTTTAAAATTCTTTTGGATAGATTCACAGATGTGATTATAATAAAATAAACATAAAACTGCACTCAGACAACACTGTTAATTCATCTGAATTAAAAATCACGTAAGTTTGTAGATCGAAAAGTAATTAGCAAAGTTTTATACTTCAGCAAATGTCCAGTAGGGGTCAGTGTTTCCTTTAAGACTCTGCGTATATTTAAGCAGCTGCCAAAAGAATCACTAGTGAGTAAGTTTGAAAATAAAATATAGGAACAGAAAATTCCCCACATCAAAATAAATATGGCTTCTTTTATAATCTTCAACCTAATAATGATATGTTCATATATTCAGAAAAATAAAATCAGATAAAAATGGGATTAGTCTACATTAGATAATGCAGGCAAAGCCTTGTATTATGATGTTCATAAAAAAAAGAAAAGAAAGAAATTTAGTGTTACAGAAGTTGAGGCAAGGTTGGATTTAAAACCTTCTGAAAGATACTTTGAGTTTGAAATTATGCTTATTCTGATTTAGAATATTTTTCCAGTTTCAGCTTTCTGGTCAAACATTTGACCGATCTGTTGTCTATAGAAAGAGTTTGTTTTGCCTCCGATACAAATTCAAGAATCGTACAGTTTTACAGGCATCAAAGAATATACGCACTTGTGTTATTGTTTATGATGATATTTTAAAGATTTTCTGAAAATGTAAAATTACATGTACAAGTAGCCTACAATTCACAATGCTCCTCTTGGTCTGTTTTTAAAATGTGTTTGTTTTTCCTTTTCAGTTCATAGTAAATCCAAAACATCCTAGTTGCTCAAAGGCAGATTCGAGGGCCACTATTTATTGTTGTTGAAAAAAGCCTGCTTTTCCAGAGACAGAAAGACCCATACCCCATTATTTTTCCTTTAATAAACTTCAACTTCCTAGAGCTTTGAAAACCAACAGTTAACCCAAGGAAACCTCTGGTGATCTTTTAACAAGGCCACCATACAAAATCTTTATATCTATGTTTCAGTCTCAACATTTTTCATGGAGTACTTTCCTTGACTAATACAATTTTGTGTTTATTCATATATGTGGTAAGAAAAAAATAGATAATTTCTGAATATCTGTATATTCTTATTTTTTTTAAATAAATAAAAAAAATCTAATTTTGATGGGAATTCCAATTAACATTGTTGTCTAAAGTGAAAAAGCACCACTTCTAGAAATAAAATCTTCAACTTGAAAAGACAAGACTTCCTTATTTAGCCTTGAACACTTCCAAAGAAAATGTTCAACAACTAATTTCATTTAAATCTTAATGCAAACTGTTTCGTTTAAAATAATGCAAAGTAGTACACCTTCTTCTTATTGGAAGTTATGCTAACACCTAGAAGTGGCCTAACCAGAGTCTTTGATCCTGAAAGAGAACATGTAGAGGGAACTAAAGATAAGGTTGATGACAAGAGGGTCCAAACTCAAATAGATTAAGCTTGTTGTTAAGGATGACGGATCATATACATATCAGAGGAAAAAAGAAAAAAAATGAAAGAAAAGTATAACAAATGCGGCATTTAGTTATTATGATGCCTAAAGTGGCTTTTCCAGGGATTATTTAGAGGTGTATGAATAACATCTGACATGCAGTATGTTGAAATGTAAATAAGAAAACAGAAACTTTCTTTCAGGTAGCATGATAGTTATTATTTTCATGTTTTATTATTTGTGTTTGCACAGAGTGTTTGCTGTTTTACAAATTAATTGCTCATTTTAAAAATGAGGCCTTGTTTCTTTTGCTATGTGCAGCAGGTGACACAGGTGGTGCCATCACTGATTCTGAGCTCATATCCCTCTCTGAGACGCTTTACGCCCTGGACTCAAACAAGGCTTCCCCCTCTCAGTTGATCCTTGACCCTCAAGCCCTTGTGTCAGACTCACAGACTAGCTCCCAGTCAGATCTCTCCTCCCGTCCGTAAGCAGTTTTGATAAATTACAGAAAACTCTAACCTATATATGATCTTATTCCCATAGAAATCCTTCTACGTATCTTTCTGTTTGAAATGTAGCTGTTTTCTTATTTGTGCTTCCAGGTTGTACAAATACGTGGATGAAAACACTCTGTTCTCCCGCCCAACCTATGCTGCCCTTCTGAATGTTCTTGACAACTACAAGAGGATGACAGGACAGGCCGAGAGCTTCACCTCTCAGCAGCAGACTGAGCAGGATACGTTCCTCAGAGAAACTATGTTGAACACCGAGCTAGGCAGAGAGCTTTTTAGCTTTCTCTACACCAAGGGTAATGTGTGCATTTATTTTTTTTTTCAGTTTAGAACACTGCAACTTGCATATCAAATAAAGTTCTAATCAAATACACAGATATTAGCTATTGTTATGTGACAAATTGGGAAAAGGCTTAAACTTTTTGATTCATAGATTATATTCTGCATTTGAAGGTATTTATGCATCAGAGTCAGAGTTTATTCAGGACCTGAAGAACATGTGGTTTGGTCTCTATTCTCGCTACAACGGTGCCATGGACTCCAGCGGTTTTGAACACATCTTCGGAGGTTTGGATGAATAGGATTTCATTTGAATACTGCTTTAACCTTTAATTTAAGATTTAAGGTTCTAAAGAACAAAATATCTTCAGGTGAAATCAAGGGAGGAAAGGTGTCTGGTTTCCACAACTGGATCAAATTTTATCTTCTTGAGAAAAGAGGAGAGCTAAATTACTACAGCCACAGCTTCAACGGGCCTGTAAGCATTCCTGACAGATGGCAACGTATTAATCCCAGCTTTGTTTAATTTACTAGACAGAAGTTTTTTTATTCTTTCTTCCCACTTTAGTGGTCTGGTTATCCTGATGTTTTGGGACTGCAGTTCAAATGGGATGGCTACTACAAGCAGGTGGGCTCTGCAGTGATTGGTTGCAGTCCTGAGTTTGACCTCGCCATCTACAGCCTCTGCTACATTGCTCGGCCTGGGAAACAGTGAGTAAACAGCCTGTGCAAAGAGAGGAATAGCTGCTGTGCTTAGAGTTTAAGGAGGAATCTTCATGGTGTTTCCTCCCTCAGATGGACTAATACAAGGCTGTCTGGGATTCTGTGTTTTTATCAGTCTCCTTGGTTTTCATAGTTTAGTTCCATCTTTGTCTCCTCTAATGACAAGGCCAACCACCATGTTTTATCATGTTTCAATTAGAGGTGTCGATAGAATTGGGTCTGATTAACCACCACCAATTAATTGTCTTGGTTTATAATATAAAATCGCCTTTAAACATACACAATTATGTAATTTTAACTGGATAATATGTGATGAGTTCTACTCTAGAAGTATGACTGTATCTCCACAAGGTGAAGGTGCAGATATTAGAAAACCATTTATACCTGCAGCTGTGAAACAACTTAATTCAAAAAAACACTTTTAACTAGATTATTTTGGTTTCCTTTGAATGTTGTGTAAGATTAATTAAAAAATTGTCCTGCAAAGCAGCTTTGTTCAAATACAACTGTATACAAAAATTATCCAAAATCCATATTATTATTTTTTTGCTTGTGGAGGCTCATAAGTTTCCTATCTCCTATTCCCAGGTGTCGCCTTAGTCTGGGAGGGAAATCGCTCAGCATACAGACCTACACCTGGGATAATTCTTCCTACGGAAATGGAAAGAAGTATATTGCTTCAGCCTATCCCGTATCGATGTAATAAGAAAGGAAGCTATAGGAAAAGCAGCATAACTGTATGACCTTCCAATCATTTGGCTCTCTTTATGCTGTAATAAAGTAAAATCAATATTAAAATGGATACATTGGTTTTATCTTTTTATTTTTTTTTCTGATTCCCATTGTTTGAATGAATCTGCGGTGAAACCCTCTGGAGTTGCAGATCACTGCATGAGAATGTGGGGCTATCACAGTGGTACAATCTATATGTGCCTAATGGGGCAAGAAATGGGCATTTACACAGCCAGAGAGGGCACAAAGCTGACACCAGCCCTGCACAGGCAGGAGCATGTGTGCATTAAGCAGCTTCTCATTGTCTTATGTAAGAGCAAAACAAAGCATAAAGAGCTGTACTTGTACTATGAAAGGAAGAGACAAAAAGATATTAACAGATTTTATTCTGCTTGACCTACTCTGAACAGTAGCACCGGCAAAAACCTGCTCTTATCAGCTGGCTGTGATGCTGTGTGTGTGTGTGTGTGTGTGTGTGTGTTTTAGTGTGTGAAGGTTGTGTGAATGGGTTTATTTCTGTGTGTGCATGACCAGCTGGACTGGGGGTTGATTTTGCTCTTTCACTCATCTAGGGTGACTAACAGGATAAATTCTGGTCTGCCGACAGAACAGGGGGACATACTTGCTGGCCTGTTTAAAGAAAGTATTACAGGAGATGGATCTGTCACTGATCCTATTGTCAACCAGTCTGTGTGCATTCGTGCAAAATAAAGAGAAAAGAGCACAAGAGCAGTTATTTTGGATGAAAACGTAAACCAACTGTGATTCAGCGACTTGGGCCTCACAAGCAGTCAGTGTCTCAGCAACAGGACAATAAAGTCAGTTTCAATATTTTGTCAGAGCATATTACATTTTTTAGAGCCGGTGGCTAGAAATTGAAAGAGCAAATCTTCTCTCTTTTCACACTACCCTCCTTTTTTACCCCCAGTGGAATCAAATTAAATCATGGAGTGGTAAATAAAAGGAATAAAAAGATTCAATTGTGTCCTTTGTCGCTCACACAACTTTATAATCAAATTATAGCTGGCCACCCGCCAGCGTGTCCTCGCATCTCCCCCAACGGGTATTCTCCCTGCAGATCGCGTGAACCACCTGACTTTTGTTTTGTAATTATATTATCCTGCGCTCCCTTTAGCGTGTTGTGGCTAATGGCTGAGCGGGCTATCCCAGCTGCACATGCAGAAACAAAGCTGCTTATGGGGCCAGACAATGGAGCTATGGAATAGGGACGCCTGAAGGCGGTCGTCCAATGAGCACGCACAACAGGGGGGCTTGCAGAGGGTTTAGGAAAGGGTTAAGGGTTTTTTTAGGGGTGATTGCGCAGGAGGGTGTCAGGTTAACCCAGGAGTCGGGGGCCCTTCAATGAGATGGTTAGTGGAGGGACACATGGTCAGTATCACCTCTGTCTCCCCAGGGTCGATGTTTGGCTGGAGGGAGGTTCAAGTGTGGCTTAGGTGATGGCCATTTCTAAAGTTGATGAGAGAGCATGAAATACAGAGCAACGTTCATTCTCTGCTGGTGTTTTGGGGATTTTCTAAACAATTTGATGAACATATTGTCATTGCGCTCACCAGTGGATACAGACATGTGCAGCGAGAGAAAAAGAGAGAGAGAGACACTCTTGATCTGCTGAGATGACCTCAGACAATCATTCCAAGCTGCTACTATTAGAATGCAGAAAACTTTTAAACTGATGCTTATAAGGGCCTGCCTTCAACTACCTACAGTGCCTTTCAAATGTACTCACACACCTTTAACTTTCCACACATTTTGTTATTTTAAAAACTGGATGAATTTGAACAGCACACCCTAAAAACCGATTGGTCAATAAAACCCACCAAAAAATGTGTGAATTTAATAAATCTGGTTGCTAGTTATGTGTCCAACCAATCTTTTGGTTGAAACAACCTATCTAATTTGATAGCATTTTTAACCAATCTTTATTGGCAAAGGTAAAAACCGATACAAACTGGTCACTTTGACAAACTATTGGTTAAATAGCATAGAAACATTGAATGCCAAGGCCTGGACTTGAGCCATAAATGGTTTGATTGTAGGGCACACCTGCATCTGAAACCACAATCACCACTAATGCTTCTTGGAATTTAACACTACTTATTTCTAATGTTACAGCGATGGGTAACACCAAGATTTGCATGCTGTCCATGTACACATTGTTATCTAGGTCGATAACTACACTTGACTACAGCCATACAGTCAGATTAGTTAATCTTCTGTTACCATTTTTATTGGTTGGATGGTTAACCTGTTCAATTGGTTGATCCAAAACCAATCGCTTGGTCAATGTCCAACCAATATATTAACTAATCTAAACAACATTGGTTTAACCAACTAGATTGGCTGTTTTACCAACCAATTCACAGAGTCTAGTAATGTGATAAACCATTGGAAAGTAGTTGATAACTAGAATGGTTTTCAACTCGCTCGTTGTTTATAAATACAAATCTTTTGATATGTATTTATATTTGAAGTAAAATTAAAGCTTCGCTACCTAATTTGCACATCTATACACTAATTGGAGTTTCTACTTTATAAAACAGCTGAACCTTAAGGATGGGTAGAAAATATTGATTCATTGCAGCTCTGGCTGAATGTTAAGGCCATCAGTGTCCAAAGACAGCGATGGAGGGTCACTGTCCAACATGTTTTGGATCTTAGTCTGAATCAATTGATGGCTTATCACCAATCCTCTAAAGTGATTAAAATCTGAGTTGGCAATTCAAGCATTTGGATCAGATTTGCTGTAGCAGAGATACATGGTAAACATACACAACGTAGGTCCTAGTGGACTGAAGTTGGAAACCCCTGGTTTAGAGTTTTTGTTAGTGGGCACACCATCCCCACATCATGATACTACTATCACTGTTTGTAATGGTGAAAACACTGTGCTCATGGTGATATGCAGTGATTGATTTTCTACACACATGCATATTTCATACTTCAGACAGTTTAAACAGACCAGCTTCTTTCTCTCGTTAAATATGTCTTTTGACAATGGAACTTCAAACATTTTCTCACTTTTTGCAAGATTTGAGCATAAATGGATGTTCCGTTTGCAAACTACACCTGGGTTATCATGTGGCTCTTGGTTGCTTTACAACTTTAGCTCTTTCTGTCACTTTAGGAGAGTTCCAGAGTTGAAGTTGTGCCATACAAAATATTACATTGAACAGCGCTTTATTTTGAGGATGTCTTAAGAGCTCAGATCACTTAGACTGTATTAAGGGGTAACAGGGTAAAAAAAAATTTAATTGCGGGAATTTACTTGTATTTGTAAAAAAAAAAAAAAAAGTAAGAAATCATGTTTTTATTCCATTTGCTTTTTGTTTCCCATACAGCTCCCCGGTAAAACAAATTTAAAATGTGGATTTAAATGCAGCCGATACAAAAAAAAGTTTAAGGGGCACAAATATTTCTGCAATACTTTTTAAATAGAGAGCAATCATACATGCATACCATTACAACCTTTACAGTGTTTGTCCAGGATCTCTCCAAGGATTCCCAGTATAACAGATGGACTAACTCCACTCCCCCCCCACTGTTACACTCAGACACTTTGGGAATTAACAGGAGAGTTATGTTTGTGTGTGTAATCAAGTGAAGTTTTATGTGTCATTCAATTTTATGAGGTAAACTTAATTCATATATCATGAGAAAGGTAAGGAAAGGACGAAGCAGCCCAGGGAGAGAGGATGGGCATCTGAGCCTCAGACAGAGAAGACCATCTGCAGCAGGACTTCATGTGCAACCACTAAAGAAGAACCAGGGGACATCGTGTCACAGTTACTGCTTTACTCTCAGGTAGCACTTGTGGAGCATTACTTCTGTCCTCTAAAGGAGGACTATCGGGAAAAAGAAGTAGAATTTTGCTACCAAAACATTTCATTTTACATTTTTGATTAAAAAAAATCATCAAAACAATGAAAGAAGCTCGTGCAATGTAAATATGGAGCCTCAGCTATCATGTTCCCCTGCTACTTCATCTCTAGGGATGCAGAGGCTCAGCCATAGTATTCCCATTTCAGGCTGCAGGTGTAGAATATGACTGGAAAGGAAGGAGGGGGAGGAGCAGCAGCAAGGTGATCACCTGGGGAATGAGGCAAAAGTGTATTTTCCATATATCCCTGGTAACCCATCTAATGCCTGTCCCTTGATGCATGTATTTCCCTTTTTTTAAATTTACTTTACAACCTCACTTTATAATCTCTAAATCAGTAGTCTATTTAATAAATGAAAACAGAGGGCAATCTATATTTTCACAAAATATTGAAACATAAAAATTGAACAATATTTTATTTTTATTGTATGATTTCCATTTGTTTGCATAACAGATAAGCAATTAGCATGTGCATTTGTCAATGACAATAAAATTAAAAAATTAGAAAATGAAAGCCAAGTGATGGTAGAAGAAAAGTGAGCCCTTCGAACAACAAGCGTGTAATTATTGTTAAATATAGAAGTGCTTAGACTTTTGAGAATACTTAAGCCCTTTTTTCTGAAGAATGTTTGATTTTAGTCAGTTAATTTTCCACTTATTCAGTTATTCACAGTGGATTTGTGCATATTATATCCAATTAAAACTTTCACTGAATCAACTGCCCATATTCACACTACGACCATTACATTGGTCAAAGTCTGACTGTTCTAGGTAAAGTATTAATGTTTCCTGCTATGATACAGCTGACATAACAGAATTGGTCATTATCAAGCTGCCATAGCCATGCATAAGAGGTAACCCAGCCTTTTGATTTGCTGCAGTGAGGGTTTGCTCAAGATGGTTAGTGTTCATTTCAGTCTAATCCAAAACGGTGAAATGTGAGGAATAAAAAAAAAAAAATGAAGAATGTTCGACAAAATAAAAAAGCTAAAATTCTGACATAGAACAGGCAAAATAAGAATAATACGATTTGGGGATGTGGGGATGTCAGGAGATGTTGGTAAAACAGAGAGCAAAGGAAATTACCTGATGTTTCACTGGTTTATTATTACCAAAGCAATTCACAGACTGGTATCAGAGAAAGAGAGAAACCTTCACAGTAAAGTCTTACTGTTGTACAAAATACTGATAGTTATAGTTACTGCTGTTATTTTAGACTTTTGAAAAGACCAGAAAGCCTTATTCTGGAAGTGGTAAGAACATTATTTGACCTTTAAAACCTATAGGCAAAGGCCCCTTGTAATATTTTTTAAAGATGAGTTAAACAGTTCATCAAAGCAGTAGTCTAGACCTAAGGAGCACCCACTGAGCGTCCCAAAAAAGGCCTTTTAATTGTTTTCACAATAACAATGAGCAATGCATTAAACCCCTATTGTCTCTGGAGTGTAATCTTTTAACTTACTGCTGGAAAAAGAAAAAAGAACTGTAAATCAGAGAACATGGAAAGGACTACTAGAACCTTCAAGATTTTCTTTCTCTATACTGGAGACATCATCATCATCATCTCTTTCATCCCAATACTTTTAAGATTTGTCAATTAATTTTCTTTGATTGCATTTAAGGGTTAGGTGGGTTGTTGCCCAATAATATATTTGAAATTGATATATTATCTCATGAGATTTTTGTTGTTGATTAATTTTAATAAAATGGTAGCCAATCTAAAGAATATTTACGTTATAAACATAAAATATATATATATATTTTCTGCAAGACAATTTTGGAGAGGTCACGATTCCTTTTACTAAAATAACTGACAACTACAGTCCTTTCTAGATAATATTTGAATAATGTTCCAACTACCAAAAAGCTCATCTCCACAGAAAGTCTATGGTCCCTAAAGTCACTGGCAATGACTGCGCATCTCATGTGAGTCCCTCTGGTCAGAACCCCCTCCCAAAAAAAACAAAAAATGAACTTTTTTGTCAGTATTTATATCTCAGCTGTATGTTGGAGACGGATGGAGCAAACACCTGCTCACACGCAAGTTCGGGCTGTCACATACAGTTAGGCTCAGGCAGCTGAGCGCGTCTCCCCTCCGTTCAATGCGGCCGCGCTGCGGATTTAGCGGCCGCCCTTGCAAGGCAACAAAAGCTTGGGCCTCTCCTGTTTGTCTGCACAGTTTCAGAGAGCTTGTGCGCACCTCCCAAACACACACACGCACATAAACCGACACACGCATGCAGGATGAGTGGAGCTCCCGGGGGGCGGGTGGGCGGTGGGGGTGCGTTGGGCCACGGGCCGGACACGCGCGATCTTGAGCGCGTCAATGGGAATTGGTTGCGAGAGGAAGGAGGAGCTTTAACGTGAAACCTAAAACCGGGAGCCCCCGTGGAGTGGCCCGCACAGTGACGGACTGCTCAGCATCAGGTCACACAACCCAACTTCAGCGCTGACTGATGCGCCCAGACTTCAAACTCTTCTGAGAATCACAAGGTTCTGCAAGAAACTCCCTGAAGAGGAAACAGGTAGGCCTCCACACACTTTAAAAATATTCTAAATATAAAAGTTCGATTTTTGTTTATTCTACTTTCCTTTGTTTGTATTTACAATCAAAATCAGGATGCAAAGAAATCATGAAAGGTTTAGTACAATGTGAATGGGCTATTTAGCAACATTTGTATATTAGATCTAGATATCTAAAGTCTACATTTATCTCTAAATAAGAGCTGTGATTTTCGGAAATGCCTGTTTTAATTCAACCTGGGCCCTCTGTTTGGATTATGAACTGGAAGATGTGGATATTTCATTTAATCCTCATGGTCGCCGCTTCATCCACTGAGTAAATCCTGCGCTGCCCCAGATTGAAGTCCTGTCAGTGACTTTATCTTGCTGCAGCATTACCAGTTCATAAAATGACCGGGATTAGGCTGACCCGAAGCAGGGGGGCGCGTGGGACGCTGCATCCACCGAGGACAATAGATGTATTCAAAAACATCTACAGATAACTTATTTATAAGATAATACTCATTATTTTGCCTTTCGCAAATAAATTTTCACAGGGGGAGCTGTCCGGTGCTGAAGCTGGACAGCAGACTGCTGAAATACATTTCACAAACTGAATTGATCAACATGAAATGTTGTAACTAATTAACGAACACTTCTAAGGGCATCCATATTAAATATGCTAAAAACATTTTGTTGTGATATATATGCATTGATAGGTTGTCACACTTCATAGGGCCATTAAAAAATTACAATTTACCTTAAATTCTGTTTAACATAATTCAGTGGTTGACAAACAAAATTGTTTATCAAACTAACTTTAACACCCCCCATGCGGATACTTAAGCTGGTAAAAAAAATAAAAAAAAATAAATAAAAAATAAAGTAATACATTTGAATGTTATTCATGCTGTTTTAAAATCGTCACTATCGCCAAAATACTATTCTGCCTTAAAAGGAAGACTGGGGGTTCTAGATGCACAACGCTTTTAAAATGTGTCACATCAATACAACGAATGAAAAAGCTTACATTTTATACTGGGGTATTTTATGCACCTTCAAAATAGATCAAATGATAATCATAACATTAATAATGATAGTGAGAATTAAATAGGTCAAAAAATGCACAAATTATTTCAGACTAAAGTCACTGATTTTATTACCAAATCTGTCTAGTTTTGTTTATTCATTTTTAACCATTTCATAGAATTTTAAATAGGTGAATTGAATTTTAAATGTTAAACTGCAAATAAAAAAAGAATCCTCTAAGACATTTATGCTTAGAAAATGCCTGCAAGTGTGGCATTTTAATTGTGCTTTGTGTCAGTGCATCATATGCTATAAACAGTGTCTTTAGTATGTATAATCCACACAGGCAAACACTTTCCAATAGATATATGGCTTTAGAACTCTAGAAAATGAAAGTGAAATGAAATTGTCTGCCAAAGCATTTTAAGTTACTTATCTGCTGACAGAAATATCATTGCCAGTTGGTTGTAAAATTGAAGTTGCACAAATCATTATTTCTGGGAAAAACAACAACAACAGAATCAATATAAGCCCCTGGTATTAACTTAGTTGCAACTCAATTCTAGGAAAAATTCTGTCCCACAAAAACTCAGATCTGTTCTAGCTTCATGGGTTAGAAATTGCAATAAAGCGACTTTAGATTGTATTATGAATTAAAGAGATTTATTTCCAAACACAGACCTGTTATTTCCTTACTGTTTGAGATTAAATCAGACCAGCCGTTTCCTGTTTTAGGTCAGTTAAGTTTAACAAAATTGTTTACATGCCAGAATGCCCCAATAATAACAGACACTTAAATGGTTTAAGAAGCTCAGATTACACAACCATGGTGTTGCAAAGTTCTGATAGGTTTATTTGAAACAGTTATAAGGCATCAATTTAATACTGTGAAAAGGCCTTTAGTTTAAAAATAAAGCAAAAATTGTTCGCAAATACCCTTTGGGACAAATGCTCAAATTTGTTGAGACTTTGGGCTGTGGCCTGATGATAAAACTTGCTCATAAAAACATTGTTACATTTAGAGGAAGAACAGGGAAACCTGCAAGCCTAAGAATGCCATCTCAACATTGACGTATGTGGGTAGCCATAGAATGGACAGACAAAATAGAAAACATGATGAAAACAACATATAGTAGAAATGTTGATGCTGTTAATGGAGGCATCAAGCAGTAAATTGAAATGTGTTAAAAATTATCATTTAAATACTCAAGAATACAAACAAATTGCAAAGTTTCTAAGGGACAAAATCAATGTTTTTCTGTAGCTATCCTTGATCTCAGTCTCTAGGAAACTAGGGCAGAGTTAAAAAGTTTTACAAAAGCAAGCAAACTACTGTGAGACTCTTGAATATTGAAGCTAAATAGGGAGAAAGAAATTTAAATTAAAAAATATTCTGGCATTTTGTAAATATTAACAGTTTTCCTAACTAATCTGTATCAATAAAAGTTTATTCAAATTTAATGTTAGTTTATGTAAATATCTGTAAATGTTGTGTATATGTAAATCTTTAAAAAAGCCTGGTGCTCTTTTCCACAGAAAACCATGATGATTAAGCCATATGTGAGACTAGCAGAGGGAGAGGACGTCATCAGCCCACTGCAGTGGATGGATGGAGAGGTGAGCTCACCTGATGGGAGCACCTTGGCACCACCACACCATTATGGAGCAGGGGGGACATGCCAGCAGACCAGAGAGATGGGAAGTGAAGATGGAGAGGAGGATGAGGGGGATGGGGAGGAAGGACAGGAGGATGAAAGTGAATCCAGGAGACGTGGGCCAAAGAAAAAGCGAATGACCAAAGCCAGGCAGGAGCGTTTCCGCGCCAGACGTATAAAAGCAAACGCCCGGGAACGCTCCAGGATGCATGGCCTAAATGATGCTCTGGAGAACCTGCGCAGCATCATGCCTTGTCATTCCAAAACCCAGAAACTGTCCAAGATTGAGACACTGAGACTTGCCCGCAACTATATATGCGCCTTGTCTGAGGCCCTGGAGGGAGGGCTTTCCACTGAGAGCAGGGCTTTCATGGAGACACTGTGTAAGGGGCTGTCTCAGCCCACAACCAACTTGGTTTCTGGATGTTTACAGATAGGATCAGGTACTGGAGCTGGGATGAGACCCGAGGAAAGGCTTGGAGTTCATCCACCGTCCAATCCTCTGGGTGGAATAGGATACACTTCTCCAGGCCTGCCAAGCCCGCCTTATGGCACCTATGACACTGCTCACATGCTTCACCTGAGAGCAGTGAAAGGAAGACAGACTGAGAATCACTCTCCACTCGAGTATAATTCTGGGAGTGTGGGAACCCCTCCATATGACGGTCCCCCTACACCACCTCTAAGCATCAGCAGCAACATGGTGCGCAAACAGGAGCCTTCCCCAAACTACCCACCCACTCCGCACCAGTACTCCCCCTCCCACGTAGACCAGGTTCTCTATCCGACTCAGACCGGCTATGATGTTCATTTAGAGGGTCCATACGATTCCTACCATCCACCACACATCATACCCAGACAGATAACCTCAGTCTACAGAGACTGAAATGAATTAAGCCATTTAAGATGTCACGTCAACATAACTGAGTCCAAATAATGAATCCCTGATGACCCCTTGATCTGGTTTTAAGACTTAAGGATCTTCTAACAAAGAACTGCAAGGAAAACGGTAGACTTTTATAAACATAAGGTGTTCCAGTAGATTAGCACCGCTGAGTGTTGTTATTGTATAATTAGAAAATACTTGACTGAAACCAGTACAGTTTCTTCCTATTTGATTACCAAAAGATTAAAGAACTATTCAGGTTATCGCAGCTGTTGCTTTTACCATTTTGACCAGATGATCTGTTTCTGTTAGTCAGCACTTCTAATTTTTGCTCTGGCAATATGAGATCTCCTGCATAAAGTACTTTTATTTATTCTTTAATTTAAAACAGTGTACATAGTTTGTTTTTTTTACTTGCATATGTTTCTGTCAATGTTTTTAACTGTTTTCTTAGCTGATCCCTTAAAGCTTTTCTTGTGTCCAGTTTCCGTTCTTGTGTTTCATTTAATGTTTTGCACTGAAAAACACATCAAGAGATTGATTTGTAAACAATGACTTACTTGATTTTTTTGTGGATATCAAAAGAAGGAAACCAAAACGTTCTCAGCTTGACAAAGTCGCCATATTTGTGTTGAATTTGTATGTAGTAGACTTATTTACTTTTGCTTATTCTTTGAAATAATGTGCTATAAAATGTTTTTTGAAAATATATAAGTCTTTGTATGAGTCATCTTTGCATGTTACGTCAAGTTTGGGTTTTTTACAGGTTTAATTGAATGTTCTGGGATGCAGTAATACTACAATACAAATTAAAGAATTCATACCACATTAATGTTTTTCACAATAAGAGCTGAATGATAGGATATCATACTATATATATATATATATATATATATATATATATATATATATATATATATATATATATGTTTTAGTTTACTTGTAATTCACACATGTTCATTTAGAATACCTACTAATATTTTGATAAATTTACACAAGCAGTTTGAACCACATATCTTGGGCATCAAGATTTTGGCATAATTCTAAACATTAAAACACACGTTACATCATAAATACTACCATTCATCTGAATTGGTTGGTTTCATGGTACAAGCCTAATCATAAAGTATATATGCAGTGGTGCCTTTTCCCATCACCGTCCGTAAAAGACAGACAGACAGACAGACAGACAGACAGACAGACAGACAGACAGACAGACAGACAGACAGACAGACAGACAGACAGATAGATAGA